TCGAGAATGAGTTGACAACCAGATCTCAAATACCAACACAAGGCAGGGCGTTCCATCGAGCTGGTTTTATTCTCAACTTCAGACTCACAAGTTCAGACGAATGCGAGTTACGAGTACGATGATTAAGATGTCTAAGCCTTAAAGGCGGGGAGGGGTGTGTGTCTTCGTCTGTCTTTCCCTATGGCATCATGGTATGGCGGCGGACTTTAGGGTACCGTTTGAACTTGGTCTTGGACCGGTTTCTCTAAGGTCCCATGTTTTGCAGAGGAATGGCGTGTGACAAGCGACCCTCCATCTCCATCCCATGATTGTCCCGCCCCCAGTATGCCATGCTTTGGATGCCTTCTTCTTCTCTTCTGTGGGAGAAACCTGAACCCCACCCATGGCGTTTCACTACAATTACCGACATGTGGAACAAATGGTGACCATCCTCGGCGTGGATCACATTAGTGTAGTAGTAGCAGTAGCTTAGCAGTCGCGGCCCGCAGCCGGTGATCAATGCTCTACTGCCTGCCTCCTCCAGGGCAAGGCAACAGTAGTCCGTAGCCTGTAAGGCAAGTCTTGCAACACTGTCGTGTAAAGGAAAGGGGTCGGTCTCGTGTTCGGTCTCGCACTCTGGGGCCCTTCCATCGTGGTCGTCGATCGTATGGCACCGTGGACGGGGTGCTCCGTGCCATGCGTGCACTGCATAAGGGGGTGGGTGAAAGAGGAACCGGGAACACTGCAACGGTTCAGTTGCCATCAAATGTCTTGGGATGTGCCAAGTTACATCTTGGGAGAATCTGACGAATCAGAAAGGCATAATTACGATGCCGCGGCAGCTTTACTGCTTTTACGCGGGGATCTGGGCCGTTGAGTGGGTTGTTTTGGGGTCCGTCTTGGCCTACGCTAGCCTCGAAGTTCGAACCCTTCCCTCCACTGAGTGCCCATCCGAGGATTCATTACTCGTGCTGTGTGGTGTGTGTGTGCGCGCGGCGGGACAACCATGACGAAAGACGAGACGTAGGCGGACTTGTCATTGGAGATCTGATGAGTACGCTGGTTCGAGAGCTGGCTGCAGATCAGTACGACGTCCCGTCAAGCTGGATGAACCCCCAATCTCTGCGACGGGTTTTTGGATGACATCGACAACCCGAGACCGACCCCGAGATGGGCTTCCAAGAGATCGCCACGGGCAACTCGCAAGCGGTCGTGGCAGTGAATGAGACACAATGGCAATAACGCATTTTGCTGACTTGCTAAGTCCGACGAAACATATGATGAGCGGAGTTTCCCTCTGCAATGGCTGAAGACACAGATTTGATGATGACCATTGACATCGCTTGGAGTACGAAGAAATCATGGTTTTCGCGGGAGTCGGGAGTGATTAGTTATTGTGACCCACAAGCTTTCGGGAATTTAGCAGCGCCTCGGAGGACATAACGAATCCGGGATTGACTGCTGCTCGGCTATACCCCTTGCAGTTACCTCATGGTTTGTTAGCTGTGCCAAGTCGGGGGATTGACGAGCGTCCGACTTTACGCGGATAACTCTTTGCAAATAAACTCTCCAGCTCCCCCACTCCTTATCAGTAGGGAATGCTGGCTGTGTTGATATGAACCTGTTCTGATTGCGTAGCGACGCCTCTTTTCTCCTCTCGACCATCTTTTTTCCTTCAGTGTTTCCACGTCCTCGATCTCAAGTCTCTCATTCCTCTCCATGTCTTCACGCGAAGCCTCTGGTTCCACTCCCGTTTCAACTTCCGGCTCGTCTTTCCTCACTTCTGGCTCATGTGGGCATGTGCGTTGAGTGAACATCGAAGCTCCTGCTACGCATTCACGAATAGACTTCACGTCACAGTCTCATGATGGCGTCAACTCCTCATTCTGCCCAGAGGGGTTGATAAAGGCAACGTTCATCTCGGGGACCATTCGTGTTTACGTTCATCTCTACACCCATCGACCTTGTTTTCCAGAAGCCTCGAGTGAAGATTTTGCCCTTGATTGGCACTTCCGTCCGAAGCCTCGCCCCAGCCACTCACGTTCTCTTGACAGCCATGAAACCACGCCGTCAGTGAATTTATCTGCGACACCCCTTTCAACACTTTAACATCAGAGGTTGCAGAGACTAAGATTTCTATCGTGTGCCCACAAAATATGTCAAATATCTATTCAAACCAACGGGCATGACCTTCCGCATCAAGATATTCTGCCCAAACAATTGGTCAATAGACTTCTGCTGGGGTCCCGTAAAGTTTCGGCTGACCTGCAACTTGCAAGCAAATCACAGGGTCACGACCAGGACTTCCCCACGATCGGTCCGGTCCGAAGACCTTCGGCCGACAGGGCTCTTTTGCAGCAGATACAGGCCCTTGATTGTGAGGGAAAGTCTTGGCGCAATTCATGATGGGCAGAAAACTTAAGTGTCAAGAGCTGAAAACGAGGCTTGAAATTGGGCAGGCGCTATCAAGTGTTTGGCATTATGGCAGCATTTATAGCTATCAAATCCCCATTTCAAGTTTACTTCATGCTGATCAGAATCCGGGGCATGTCTGACCGCAAGATCATCCCCAACGATGGATCGAGTGGCTTGCAGGTTACTTGCCGGCCGTCGACGCCAGTCCGTGAGACAGCATCTGAGCTGCAACATAAGACGACGCCTCTTTCGCATACCGACAGTAGCTTACGCTCCCGAAGACAGTTGATAAAGTTCAGTGTTTGTCCCCTCGGAAGCATGCGATTACCCCTCCTTTCCTCGGCCGGTGTCCAACTTCACCTCGTCTTCTGGTACCGGCTAGTAAGCCTGTGAGAAAATTTCGAAATCAACATTCTGCGAATCACTGCATCGATTAAGAGCGCCTATTTCTCGTACGCTTGGTGCATCATGCTGGATATTGCAATCATCGGCGGTGGAATCGCCGGGCTCACGGCAGCCATCGCGCTCCGGCGAGCAGGCCATTCTGTGACGATATACGAGAAGACGTCGCTGAACAACGAGATCGGGGCCGCGATCAACGTGCAGACGAACGCATCACGTCCGCTAGTGGCTCTGGGAATGGACCCGGCGAGAGCGAAGTTCGTGATGGCCACAAGCAGCCGGCTCATGCGAGGAGATACCCTGGAGGTGACCCACGAACTCAATCTTGGGGCTATTGCAAATAGTTACGGATCGCCGTGGTATTTTGCGCATCGGGTCGATTTGCATGAGGAATTGAAGCGGATGGTGATGGCGGCTGACGGCGGCCCGCCTGTGACGTTCAAGTTGCGGAGTGAAGTGACGAGTTATGTGAGCTTGCGTGAACCAGGAGTCTGATTTTATGCAGAGACATCAGCATGCTAACGATGGACCCAGAATCCGGAAGCTGACAGCTTTACTCTTCGAGACGGAGTCGTCATTTCTGCGGACCTCGTGGTAGTTGCGGATGGTATTCACAGCGGTGGCGTCGAGGCGATTCTCGGGTCTCCCAATCCCGCGTTTCCCGCAGCCCAAGACAACTTCTGCTACCGGTTCTTGATACCCATGGATGCTGTACTTTCGGATCCAATTACCTCCAAGCTATACAAAGATGCAGCTGGTGGTTTTAGGCTATTTCATGGGGATGGTAAGAGAATTGTCACGTATCCGTGTAGAGAGTATGTTGACCAGACGGAATGTCACACTAAATCTTCGACTGACGCATCGTAGCGGCGAGGTGCTCAACTGTATTGCCATTTTCCACAACGAATTTGACTCTTCGAGCAGAGAAGGTAAGTGAGCCTGCCTTCGTGATCGCGCAAGAGGCACGCAGAACAAAGACCACCACGGGCAGCTGAGGTCCGGTTTGCTGGCCAGGAAGAACGAGCCGCTGACTATCATCCTAAGACTGGCACAACTCGGTTGACCAATCTTACCTACTGAAGCTTTTTGAAAACTTTCATCCCAGTGTGCTGGCTCTTCTTCGGTAAGTGAGGCCTATAGGAAATGCAAAAGCCTGCCGGCTGATGAGTGACAGTAAGGCAAACGAAGTGAAGCAGTGGCCTCTGCTTTACAGAGCCCCCATTCCAAGATGGAGCAAGGGCCGCATGGTTCTGATTGGGGATGCAGCTCACCCAATGCTTCCACGTAAGGCTTCTGCCCAAGTCACCATGCCTTGACTCACATCCTATCTGCAGACCAGGGGCAAGGAGGTGCGCAAGCCATCGAGGACGGCGTTGCCCTCGGCGTGTGTCTATCCAACACAACCTCAAAGGACGATGTAATCGAGAGACTGGAAGTGTTTGAAAAAATCCGCAGAAATAGGGCCAGCGTAGTCACCATCTTCAGCAACGCTGGGCAAGAGGAGGCGGAGAAGATCAAGGAAGCTGCGTCAGAGTTCATACCTGTCGAGCGTATCCCCAGTGAGTCGCGGCCTACTCCCTCTATGATTCCGGCTAAAAGGCACACATCTAATCGGACTGAACAGCAAATCCAAGTGGCTTCTATGACTTCCACTTTAGTTACGACATCATGGAAGACGCGGCTGAGCACATGCGGAAGCTCGATCCCAACTTTAGACTTCCCGAAGCCTTTTTGAAAAACGAACCGGGAAATCGAGCATTTCTATAAGAGAAGAATGACTTTGAGTTGGATAAATTCGATTCAAGAAGTAGTGGGCGGACTTGGGCTGTTGTATGAGGTCCCAGTTGCCGACAACTTCATTCACAGGGTACTTCTTTCCACTTACTTGAGTGAAGTACCTCAGTCAAGGTACCTTGGAATGTTGAGAAATGAAGGAAGGCACGAGGTTCTTAGTTGAAGGGAAGAAGTAGCAGGGATCACTCAATGATATTCGAGTAAGGAGGTCCTCGCTCACTCCTGACATTTGTCGTGTCGGTGGTGTTGGATGCAGCCATAGACTCTCCCTCCTGTCTTTCTCCTCTTCCTGTCATCACATCAACGATCGACAAACACTCCTATTTCTGTATATCTTTGAATCCCGCTCTCCCTAGGTATAACTATCTTCTCCGAGCGAAGTATTTGAGTCGGCGACTTTCCACGCCAACACTAGCTACCTCGGCGAGAGCGACAGCATTCTCGAGCTCTTCCAGGTGGTTCGGACCACGAGGGATTGACGACCTGTCACCGCCATGGACCGAAGCCTCGACCAATGGGACGAGATTTCGCCGTTGCTCCGGTTTCTTGTTATTATCGGAGTGGTTGAGACACTTGCTACCATCTTCTATTTCTGTGTCACGCTGTGGTGCCTGGCTAGACACAAGAGGACGATTGACGATGAGAACGTAGGTAGCATTGCCACGCCCATTTCTCCCATCATAGCACTAATCCATTCACCTCGTGTCTCAACAGCCTCCTATCAGAACCAAAGAATCACGCGATGCCCACGGCGGCAAACATCGAGCATAGGAAGATGAGCCAACCCCCCTAGCTCGCGTCGTCTTGGTTCCCGAGCGAAGAGGAGGACCCAAACAAGATCACTGGGAGCCAACCAACCCCTCACCTGCACCCTCTCTCGCACCGGCTGCCCCGTTGTATGCCATTTCAGAGGCAAGCCTCAGCAAATATTCATTCACAGTGCTAGCCTTGAAATCACACGATCGGTCTTGACTTCAGGCGGTATAATTGCGGTAGGAATACATGGGATGGATGGGGCCCTGATGAAGGACAGACTTTCTTCACTGAATCGGCAGGCCTACTGATACACTCTACTAGTATACACTCTTCACCCACTTAACTTCTGTCTTCCGCCCGTGACTGTTGCTCCGGTGCGTAGACGCGTTGAACTGCGCGGTCGTGAGCCGCCTTGAGCAGCACCAGCTCGCGTTCGTGTCTCCTCCGCATCTCCCTGGCATCAGGAGGCAGCATCGTCTTGTACAGAGTTTCTCTCGCCTTGACCTCGGTACAGCGTGCCAATACGGCCACGCTTGCCAGCCATGCGGCTAGGAACGCAAGGAATGCTTTTTGTCCCACCAGCCAAGAGTCCAGGCCGAAGAAGTGCACCACCAGCAGCGTCACACTCAGCAGGCATTGACCGATGGGCAGTGCCAGATCCACGATGGGCCACACATTTGGACCAAAGGCGCCTCTATCCTTCATCTTTTCTTCGTAATTCATCAGTTCGTTTTTCCACTTGAACTCGCATTCGTGTGCTGACTTCATGTCTACGAGGCGCAGATGATATGCCTCCGTGGCGTATACGATACGCGAATGCCGCTCTTCGTACGAGTTCTTGGGCTCGGCCCATTCGGAGAAGAGGGCATCGAGCTCGGCTTTGGCTTCGCGGACCAGTCGCGCCCGCCGGCGGGGTGTATCGGGAGCCTCGACTCTGGTCCCCGCTGGCACTACTTGAGTTGGTGTTGATGACCTCGTCCTCGTTGATAATAGAGGAGGCAAGGTTTTGTCGGTTTCGATGGTCGGAGACTTCCCTAAAAAGTCTCCTGATTCGTACTCAGTTGGGTCCGAATCTATGGGATGTGCTTCGTAATCGTCGTCGGACCCATAATCACTTTCACCGTCGCTCTCACTTTCTCCGACCTCTTCCTCATCCTTGCCCTCATACTCAACATCGTCGTCCTCGCTTTCCTCGGCCATGAAGCTAGAGCCGAACCGATAGGGGTCCTGATCAACGCTCTCACGTGCAAACATTTCGCAGATTTGGACCAGCGCATCGACGCATCTCCTGTCCAGCTGCGAATCACCCTGCACCTCCTGCTCCCTCTCGCACACCCTACCGATTGTGTCGATGCACTTATTCACAACGGCAAACTTTGCATTCTGTTCGGTTACGCTCGCCGAGGTTGATGCAATCGCTGCCCCGGCCTGTTGCTTGGCCAAGTCCCTCAGCTCTTCCAGCGTCTCCTCGACCTTGTCCAGCCGCTCCACCACGTTGGAAAAGCTCCCCACCGATTCTGTGGGACTATCATCCTCATCCTGTTCCGGGACAGCCTGCGGGAATGACGCGAAGCACATTTGAGGCGCGTACATTGGCGAAGGCGCTGTCTGCGGTCTCTTTGGCAAACTTATCGTGCCTGGCGAAGTTGCGCTCGCCGGCGACATTGGTGATATGGTGGTGCTGACTGACGACCGCCTTTGAATCTCTCTCCACCCTTCCACCATGCGCTTCATAAACGCTGCCTGGTCGGGCATGATCTTGACGACCTCATCGGCGGCACTGGAGATGAAGTCGTCTGGGAGGAGAACAGGACAGGTTGATGAGCGGCGAAATGGCGGCATGGAGACCGCCGTGGATGGGCGGCTGCTGTAGGTGGCGGTAGACGGACGGCTGTTGTAAGTGGCCGTGGAGGGACGGCTGTCATTCTTCTTTTCGGTGCGTTCTGACTCGGAGGTTGTGTCCTGGAGCTGCTGGTGCTTGTAGACGTCGACCTCGTCAAAGTAACCGTCCAGGCTTTGTGACGACTTGCGCGATGAAGCGGGCGTCTCGATACCGTCGTAGCTTTCATCCTCCTCGTCCCCCTCTTCCTCATCGTCGTACTCATCGCTGGAGAACATGAAGTCACCGAGTTCCTCCGAGAGTCGTCTTGGTGCGAGGGCGGGGGACCCTTGTCGGGGACTAGCTGGGAGGTCCCTCATTGTGCTGGTGTGTTGAGTGTTTGTGCGTGTAGTTGATGAGTTGTTTTAAGTCTCTAATGAGGCTCCGTTTCTTGAAGATTATGGATGAGTGAGTTGTTGCTCTGCGTGGATAATGGCAGTTTGAAGTGTTGGTCTTGGTCAGCTCCCAAGTGGGCGCTGGTTGGGATGGCGGGATTGCGGATTGCGGCAAGGGGGGGTAGGGAGGGTACGGAGGGATGCGAAAGGGGAGGGGACCCTTGGCGCGGGGTGAGTGGGCTGGGGGGCTGGCGGTGAGTGAAAAAGGCCGCACGATGGTCAGTTTGCGTTGCTACTGAAGGCTGCACCTTGATCCCCCAAAGAGAAGTAAAAAGAGAGCACGATCCTTTTGAGATGTCGGGGATATTTTGTTACGACGAAAAGACAAGAAAAGATGGGATGGAGCGATCTATAGAGCTAGGATGAAACCTTTCGGAGACGGGTTGTCGTGGTTTGCGGTTGTGGTTGGATGCAGTTTAAAGAACGGGCTGCAGCCAGAAAAGACTAAAAAAGACTGAGAGACAAAAAGGAGAAGAAAAAGGTAGTCTGTACTCCGTAAGGTATGAGTGTATGTAAAGTATGTATGCAAGTCTTGCAGATGCGCGCAGAAGAAGGTGTTTCCGATCGGCGGTCAAGATAAACTTCGGTCAAGACCTAGGCACGGACGGGACGTCCATCCACGAACATGAGTCTATGACTGCTGTAAAGGTACGGAGTATGGTTGACGGGATGGGAGGAGTATGTATGCATGTATCGATGTATAGGTAAGTGAGTGGATGAGTACAGCAGACCAGAGAGAGAGAGAGGCAAAAGAGTGGAATCAAATGTAAGAGAGAGACGAATGATACAATGAGAAGAGAGAATGAGGGATAGCGCGCCTCTCGAAAGGGATATCACGCGAACGAAGGTAAGGGAAGGTGGTGAAGATGGTTGGATTGGAGAGAGAGAGAATCAGAAGGGCAAAATCGACCGTTGGCACATGCGAGTTTGTGTGTGTGCGTGGATAGGTGGTGGATTCTGCAGCACTTTAGCTGGGGGAGAGGGAATGGTTCGTTCCAATTCGTAGCTTTTGTGGTTCACCTTCGTTCTGGATCGGAAGGACGGACAGGGGTTGATGCATCACTCTAACTCGAGATGGAGAATAGAGGTGAGTGAGTCTGTAAGAAGAGTCTGGGCTGGACAACGCAGTTGTGTCGGTCTACCCGTCCATCGGTCGAGACCCCTCCAAAGTGCGATCACCAGATTTACCGAGAGTTTATCAGGGTGAGAGTGAGAGTGAATGTTCGCAGTCGTCGTCAAGTGTCGTTACCCATTGATGTATGTGTAAATGCAATAATCGTATTGTACAGACTTTGTCCATCCCATCCCATCCCTCGGAAACCCTGCCTGGTACCTGGTAGAAAACCCAAAACCCAAAATAAAAAAACCAAACGATGGCCAGCGATGGCCAGTGGTATCATAATCTTCGTCAATGCAATTTTTGGCCATCTTCTTCTTCTTCACTCTGCCCTTTTGTCGGTGTCCTTCCCTCGCGTTCTCGCAGAAAAAAATGTCTCCATAAAGTGCGGCCCAAAGCCCACCTGCATGATGCCACGTCAAATATCCCCTGTAGCTGCAGCAAAAGGGCAGCAAAAAATAGGCAAAGGACGAAAAAAAAAAGAGGTCCCCAAGGACCCGAAGACCCCTCCTCGGCTAGGAACAACGCCGCAGCCGCCGTGCTATCCCCACACACCGCTCTCTGCTCCCCAAACCCAGCCACCTCACCGGACGAACCATCCGCGGCGGGGATCGCTTGTGCGCTTGCACCAGGGCCTGGCAGACAGAGACAGGTGAGGTGCAGCGCACACGCGATACTCTGAAGTCTGTAGCCTATCCGTACGTCGGGTTTCAACTGTAACCGTACTGGATCCCAAGTCCGACCTTTGGGTTGTCGCCGCCAAGGGGACCGCCCACCCGCATCTTCTTGGTCGGGCTCACCATGTCCGATCGTGCCTCTTGGCCGTGACCGTTAGACACACCCCCGTTGAACTTGCGCTTGTCCGCACCACTCTTAGTAATGCCAGAGAACAGCTTCGCCTGGAGTCTGGCGCTCTTCTCGGCCGGTGCAGGTGTGCCGTCGCGAGAACCAACAGAGCTGGCAACTTCGAAGCTCTCACGGGGGTCGCGGCGCAACATCTCGGACGCTGCCTGGCTCGCTTGGCTCTCGTAAACTTCCTCTTCGTCGTCATTGCCGCTGCCGCCGGGGAGTGGACGGCGAGCGCCACGGGAGGTGCGAGATGCTTGCGAAAGGAACGAGGCCGACTTGGCTACGGACTCGAGAGCCTGGCGGGCGAGCTCTTCGTTGTCATCGGCCGAAATAGTGCTCTCCCGGCTCTTGCGAGCGCGCTCTTGAACCCGCTCCTGGATGGCCGGTGGCGGCGTGCCAGGAATCATTTGTGAGTTGCTGTACCGGTACCGAGGCTCGCTCTGAGGGACTAGGTTCACAGAGGGCAAGAGGCCAGATTGCTGCTCATGGCGCTGGGTGCGGGAGAGCGGCGTCGTTGGCAGGGCAGATAGAGACTGTGCGTTTCGGGTGTGCTTGGGAGGCATGCGGGGCGCGGGTCTGACCGCCGTCGTGGGCGTCGAGGGCGCGCTGTTGTTGTCCTGGCTGAGGGCCTGCAGCAGAGCCGCAATGGGCTCGGGGCCGTGATCGCGGTCGACCACCCTGGCCTCACGGTTGGCCGACCGAGGCGTCTGCTGCTTGGGGGTAGCTCGGTGAGGCTGCTGGGGAGTTGAGACGGCGGGCTGCTTGGGCGTCATGGCACCGTGAAAGATTCCGCCGGGGCTGCACAGCATGTGAAAGTGTTCCCGATTCTCCCGGATGCGGTTGAGCAGCATGTCGCGCTCCTCTGTGAGGCCGATAATTTCCTCCTCCTTGTGTGAAATAACCTTCTTTGCCCTCTTGACTCTTCGCACGAGGCCCTCGTTCTCGTCCATGGCCTCTTCGTACCACATCTTCATCTGGAGGTACTTCATCTGCGCCGACTCTGATGCAGCGCTGAGTTCGCGGACAGCATGACGGGAGTACTCTGCTGTCCTGAGGGCCTCGATCTCTCGCCTGGTCATCTCGTGCTCCACGGCTGCCCTCTTGGCATCCTCGTCCGCCTGGAGGCTTAGCAGGTTATACTGGAGCTTGTGGTGCGCGGCCTCCATCTTCAGCTTTGCGTGTTCTGCGATACTAGCCTGCATCATGGCTCGAAGTTCGTCTGCGGTAGCTTCGACAACCTGCTGAGGGGCGGGTGGGATGTATTCGGTCCCAAGACCTCCATCTCGTCGTACCGTCGCGTTGTGGCCTGTGGCGGGCGGGGAGAAGAGAGCGGATCGCTGGGAGGCGCCGTATGCGGTCTGCAGAGCGCCGTTGCCGGTATGCGCAAGCAACTGCGATGAGGGCGGCGGTGTCAGGGACGAGGGAATGACGGCGGAGGAGCTCAGACGGTCGTCGTTGACTTCGGTCTTGAATGATTGGTTGGATTCGGCGGGCGATGCGGGCACTTCAGTAGAGGGGAGTGTCACTTGTGAAGAGTTCAATGCGAGGACAGTGGTATCTTGAGGTGTCGTAGGAACGGTTGTGGTGTCGTTGGGCTGCTGGGCCGCAGCATCGGGGGCGGTGGCCATGATGGACGTGGGAGCGATAGTTCGGAGCGAGCGAGCTATGCCTCAAATGCGATCGGAGAGGAGAGGTGTAAATGTTGTTAATTGATTGATGCAATTCGAACGCGGGGTAGCTGTATGTGCGACTCTGGTAGAGAAGTGCCGGTCTGAGAGCTTGAGGTGGGTGAGTGCGGAGAGGAGACGTCGCGTTGAGAACCACGTCAGCGAGGGAAACAAGGCAGCGTGGATTGGTTCAGACAGAAGCCGGCGATGATGACAGAAGCGACACAGAGACGTGGAGCGTTGGGTTCGATGCAGAGATATAGCGACGAGGTGGCGGGGAGAGGAAAGGGGAAAAGAGAGCAAAGGCTCCTTGGTGGTGTCTCTGTGCTCAGCCGAACGCTCTTTGTCTTCCGCACGGGTTTGACGGTGGACGGGTAGTAGCGTGTGTGTGTGTGTGTATGCGTGTGGTGTGTGGTGTGTGGTTGTGGTGGTGTATTGGCGATGGTTGGTGGGCGGTTGCTGTGGGAGCAGATGGAAACGGAACGGCGCCAGAACCCAGAGCAGAGCAGAGCAGCACAGAGCACGAGCCAGCGGAACACCAAAAAAAGATGGTAGACAATCAGCGGACGGCCGGGGCTGGGGAGGATGTGGAACTGGACGGGGGGGAAGCTGGGCCGCGAAAGGGAAAAACCAAGGAAAAAAGAAAGGCTGGCGGTGGGCGGCTGAGTCGACGCTAGGCCCAGACGCGGACTGAGGTGGGCTCGGTGAAGGTTCGGGTGAGCTAGTTGAGGAGCATGGGCCAGGCCAAGGTGAACGGTAAGTGGCTTGATTGGTTTCTTCACCGAGAAGCTAGTCACCCCGTCTTTGTGCTCCCGGGACTGCCCCTTTTCTGCTAATTCACTTTCACCAAAGCCACAAGAGGCACCAGAGGCTGGGAACGGAAGCCGATTGCTATAGCTTCATCAACTCCAACCTCCAATATCCCTATAGAGTAAGGATAGTACTGCTTTTGTTTTCTTTCGTTTCCCTACTGGGTAAGTATCCATTGACTCCAATCGCGACTACTCCGTAGAGATCAATCACGCCTTGAGGTAGCCCAGAATCACCTCCTTAAACTGCTCAAAGTTGTCCACAAACGGGACGTGACCCGCGTTCTTGATCAACTTGAGCTCAATCTTGTTGTCCTTGCCAGCCGCCCTGAACCCCTTCTCCACCTTGTCCCGCATCTCCTGCATCGCCTGGGGAAGGTTCGCGTCTTTTTCACCAACAACCAGCAACGCCTCGTCAACACCCGACCCAATCCTCTCAAACAGAGGCCGGATATCGAAGCTATCGCTCTGCAGCGCAAAGCAACACGTCTGGAATCCCTCCACGGTAGTCTGGTTCATGATGGCGCGCGCCCGAGCCGCCTCCTCGGGGTTGGCCTTGATCCATTCGGCGCCGAACCAGCGGTCCATTGTCTGGTCGACCTGGGCCTCCATGTTGCCGGCCTCGCCCGCCGCCTTGGCCCGCGGGCCGAACAAGTCCTCCACCCCGGCGTGCTTGGGCGACGAGCTGATGGTGTCGCAGATGGCCACCTTTTGGATGATGCCGGGGTACTTTGTCGCAAAGTAGAAGCTCGTCGCGGCGCCCATAGACACGCCGATCCAGGCAAAGAGCTTCTCAATCTTGAGCGACTTGACCAGAGTGTGCACGTCGTCGGCTATCGTCTCGAACTCGGTGTCGAGCTTCTTTGGCGCGGACGACTTGCCGTGGCCCGGCTGGTCAAAGCGCAGCGTACGGAAGCCGTTGGCGTGGAGAACCTTGACAACATGATCCCAGAGCGTAAAGGGCGCCGCAAGCGAGTTGGCTAACAAGACGACGGGCTTCGCGTCCGGGCCTGAGAGGTCGTATGAGAGGATGCGGCCGTCGGGCAGGTTGAGTTGCTGTGCAGATGCCATTGTGAATCCCACTCTTGTCTTGTAGTGCTTGGATCGTGATGTGAATTGCTGTCTGGTGATGCTCGATAGTGTCACGCAACGTGCCCAGGTGAAGTATGGGTATCTATCGTAAGAGGCAGTGGAATGGATCACGGTACGCAGAAGCTACGGAATGAAGTGACGGACCTTCCGTGATTAATATCAGAGAGACGACAACCTCAACCTTTTGTGACTTTCACGTCATCGTCATGTGACGGCCGCGGGGTCGGATCGGAGTGGTAGCTTTCGGGAACTGGCAATGGTGGGGTTGCCTCCTGCCCGGCACCCGATGGTCTTAGACTCCACGGTCAGCGTTATCTAATCAAGATACGTACCCTTTCCCTAAGTACCTAAGGTGCACTAGGTACCTGGCACGGGCCACTCAGGCTCCAGCTCAAGCCTCCAGCTTCTTTTCCCATCGCATAACACACAAACAGCTCAACAACGCTCCAAAGCAAAAACTGAATCGGGCAAATCACAAAGAGAGGGCACCTGATGATACTGTGTGGAAGACAAAAGTACAAAAGATGAGGTGCGTCAAGGACAGGATTCGAACCTGCGCGACCGAAGCCACTGCCTATTCTGGAATCAAGGTTTGATAGCAGGGCAGCCCATTAACCACTCTGGCACCTTGACTAGTGACTGTTGTTGAATTGGTAGCTTTTCCGAGGCCTTGAGTAGGGCCCACGCCTGCATCCTTTCCGCCGCGCCCATCGAGCCTGGTCGCCCTTCACAATCCCGTCTCGAAAGGAGGAGGCTCGAAATCCGTGTTTGTCCAAGAATCTACCTTAGGTGTCGTTGGTGACTGCTAGCAAGCTATTCGAGAACTTTTGCGAAAAGTTTACGAGTAGCCTGTGAGTTGGGAGAAAGGAGAAGAAGAAGCAAAGTTTGAAGCAAAATGTCATAGAGAAAATCTTTCGGAGCTAGCCACCTTGCTCGGTCGCAATGGCCACTTACTGCCCCTGGTTCGCTGCAGCGAATAACCGTCCTTGAAGGCGTCACTGTCATGACCCGAAGTTTGAGTTAACCTGTTCGTCTCCCAAAGAGAAAGGATTCATATTTCTTTAATCGACTGAGACGGCTGTCGTTTAAATGTTCTTTCTAAAATTCGCAGCAGGCTAGAGAGCTATATGAACCAGTGATATCTTACACGGGCCGTGAAAAATGGCAAGGATTAATGAGAATTCGCCCAGATATGTCGTTCGAATATCAGACACCAACTTGGGTAGCAAACGACAATATGAATCTTCTCACAACAGCACAAGGAACTCTCTCAGCGCTGACACAGTGAAATCAGTAGACATTGATTTCAGAGCTATGATGAATTCCTGTCAGCGCATGCTCCTTATCATCCTCAACCAAGGAATGATACTCACAAGCCTCAGAGAGGGTGGTTGCAAAAGTCGAGTCCCATTCAGCAACGCCCGACTCTTCTTTGGTCTCCCTTGCAGCTGCTGGAACGCCATTCGGATATGCCTACTATCAACTGGCTTCCTAAGACCCTCTGGTTCAGCGAAAAGCCCGCCCAAACCTGTCTTCAAACATTTCTCTTCCCCAGCCATCGCCGTCCCCTCCCCGAGACGGAGCGCCTCCTGCTTTTGGACTTTGAGTGCCTGCGCCGTCAATTTCTGCACCATTTCACTCGTCAAGAACCCCAGGATATCCATAACATCATCATTGGGCTTGTTCTCCGCAATCACGCCCAATCCACACCACTCTCGAAACCTCTTGGCCTTGCGATAAGTCAGCGACGCGTGACGATACTCTGACCACGTCGCATACTCGGCAACAGTCATATCCCTCGTCCGCTCATCGTTTCTCCTCAACTTCTCGAGCGCGGCCTCGTTACTGGTGATCTCCACCAGATCCTCCTGGCTCGCCTCGGTCATTTGCTCAGAGAAATAGGACGCCGCGTCCCAGGGGAGCGTGACGGTAGGCAGCTTGGTCTTGCCGCCCGCGGGGGCGTCGTCTGCGGGCGCGACGACGTTTTCTTCAAGGTCGGCTTCGTCGACGAAGCCTTCTTTTTCGTCCGAGTCTTTGACCGTTCTGCGGATGGCTTTCCAGGTGAGGAAGATGCGGAGGCGTTCGACGCGGGCTTTGTCGTGGCGGACTTGGAAGATTAGGTCGTTGTTGGAGAAGACGCGGGAGCCGCGGCGGGCGGCGAGGTCGTTAGCTATTTTGAGCTAAATTCTGGTGTTCAGTAGATGATATAATTGTGGAAAGAGAGAACCGAGGGGGAGAGGCGCGGATGAAATACCATGTGAACGACTTGATCTCGGATGATTTCCTCAATAAGTTTGGTGGTCTGGACGGAGACCTCTTGTGTCTCTCCTGCAATGTACATCATCTGGTCGGTATTGTGTCACTGGTCAGAGATGGTTTTGCTTTGGCACGAGGTATCGTGACATGAAAGCAGGGTCGTAAAACGGAGAGGAACAAGGTGGCTTATTGGATCACACTGATGCCAACTCGGGGTATTTGCATAGGTGTGGTAGAGCATGCCTGGGCATCACCATGATTTGAAAAGACTTACCTGTTGAATCTCCTGTTTGAACTTGGGCTCCATGGCTATGACAGGGGCCGGGTATCCTGAACGAAGACGAAGGAACTTGGGTAGGTGTATGGGAAGAGAATGATTAGGAATGAAGGAGCCGGGACGGTAACAAATAAAGAGAACTAGAAAACGCCATGAGTGAACTCCAGCTTCTACGTCCAGGACTCTGAGGACTTGAGAATGAATGCATGGCGGAGGTGCGGGTGGAAGAGTTCATGTTGGCTATTTTATACAGGCGTCTAAGACGCTGTAGGTGCGAGATGTGAATTTGACACTGTGCTCTCACACGCCGCCGGGCATTTGGTGGTGGTGCGGGAGTTGGAGGGAGAAATTGGGGACGAAAAGGCGCGGGGATGGCTTTACTTCGATCAAAATTGTCGGTTGAAGGCCGGACTGTTGAGATCAAGTCCCCTTACCCATGAAGTATGATATCTGACTGGACCACTCCAACTACTCGTCTCCACACGCTTGTGCTGACACAGTGCTCCTTCGGCTTGTAAGTGAGGAGCCCCCTTCCAAGATGCTTGAGTACTCGTCTAAGATAAGGTCCAGTGCACATCCATGAGGTAGACGGCTTCTATCTTGATGTATCCAGTCGTTCTGGCCAATTTTTATTGGGCATTTCACATCTTCTCACCATGGTTGAGGCTTGAACTTTCAAAGACCATTTGATGCTAGATAGGACCGTAAGAAGCATCATTGCAACTATCCCATCAACGTTTCGTAACCCTTCTCCACCATGACATCCATCCAGTACACGTCCTTCTGCTTCTCATCCATACATGACCAAGTCTCTCTTACAAGAAGCGTCATTTGTCGTATAGGCTTCGCTGCCAAGATGCCCTCGAACGACGCAAGACGCGACAGGACCAGCCGTCTAGCGTGTAAAATGTCGATCATGGTTGGCTTTTCCCTCAGCCTAGGACTGGTAGCAAAGCTTATCACAGGCTTGCCTCCCAAAGAAGCTAACGAAGAAAACTCGCGAGTTATAGAAAGCTCGCTGCAGATGCTTACCAACAGCAGTGGCTGGATGGACCGAGATCGCGACGTGATTGGAATATCTTGTAGAAGGTCGAGGATATGTAGAGCAAGACAGGTCAGCCACGTCCCGTGGAGAGTTTCTGGATTGTCCGAAAGGCTGGATTCTGACTCTCCGGGTATATCCAGCCAGGCTGACGGACTGGCAGTCGCCGTGTCCTGCAAGAGCAAATCAGGAAAGTTGCGGTAGAGTTGCAGCAGTCCCGTACACCTGTACGCCTCTGCAGCTTTTAACAGATGGTCTGTTGGTGTCATATCATCTCCCGAGTCCATGACTGTAACCTCTGTTGGAAGTTCAATCTTGCAAAGCCGCGAGTGGAGTTGTTCCGCTGTCTGTATGGCGGCGACGGACTGCTCGATGTCGTGCCTGGATGAATGCTGGCGGCGACGGATCCGTTTTCTTTCTCTTCTGACGAGTGCCCCGACTTGCCCCACAACCTCTAGCATCTCTACTCCAAGACCTGTCTGCGGGTGTGGCATCCTTGTGTCATTTCGATTGGGAAACCGAGGCGGCTGTGGCTGAACGGCGCCAGTGGATGCCGCCGAAGGCAACTCTCGGTCGGTGACGAAGGAAAGCAGCATCCTCCAGTAGACGAGAGAATTATAAAAGAAGAAGCGTTTCTGCTTGTCCGCCATGGCCAAGTTATCTTGTTGGGCTTCGAGATGGATGAGCGTCTCTGCCAATAATTCGAACTCGGATTGGCCGAGTTTAGACGGATCATGCCAGCAGAGGCTGAAGCCTAGCATGACCAATGCCAACAGTGATGATGTATCCGTTGGACCTGCTCTACTTTCTTTCCATAGAGCGTTTACTGCCTGGTCTCGAAGTCGGCTACTGGCTGCGGAAAGGCCTGGCGAGACTTCGGCTAGGCAAGCCGCAGCCATGCTTTGGGTAACGTAGTAGAGCGATGGCGAATTACTCCAGAGATTGGAAATGGTCGTTCTGTATGGGTTCAACTTGCTGTCGTAGCAAGACATCATCCCGCACACTTCTTTGAAATAGTACTCCACCAGCACCGATGTATTGTCTTGTAATGAGGCCGATAGTGGAGTCTCATTGCGAGCCATGCTGGATGGATTGGAGCTGACGCGCCGGTCTACCACATCTAGACCAAGCGGAGCGACTTGAGTACCAGGAATGATACCCTGCCATAGTTCATTGGCCTCGGTTCCGATTGACGGAAGAGAAAATGTTACCCCTGCGGATGAGGAAGGAGTTGGAGAAAGAGCCGGTAGATCTGAGAAGGGAAACGGAGGCTCTAGATGGGTAGCATCTTGAAAGTCTATACTTGAAGGGGTATCGATATTTGCAAATTGATTTAGGAAATCCGTTTCACAAATATCCCTGCAAGATGGATTAGGGGACTGCAGATTTTGAACCGGGGCTCTATCCCTTTGCTGGCGGCTCTGTGGTTCGTTAGATATCGGGGTTGTGATGTCGACCCTAGGTGATCTAGAGGCAGGCGACCATCTGAGAGGCTTTGTATATCCGGGACAGGATATCCCGAGTCTTTTACATCTCGAGCAATGTGGCTTGACTTCGTCGCATTTCAACTGGCAAGAAGCGTGTTAGGACCTAACACAACAAATAGTACATAACGTTGGTCTCGTACCCGTTTTGACTTGCATACTGCGCACCCATTTCGGGATCTGGTGATGGTCTTTTGCGCCGATGACTGCATCAGGTTGTTGAATACAAGATGACAGTGCACATTCAAATAAAGAATTGGATGAGAACGAGACGACAGCTCAAGCGAGTGTGGCAATCCCAGAATCATTCGAGCTTGCAATTCTTGAGCAGCAAGCTTTCCATGTGCCTGAGAAACGATTGTCTCAGTGAGTGAAATGACTCGCGTCCGGATGCGGGGAGCTCATCGGCAGTGGAGCGCTCGGAGGTAGCATGACCCCAGCGAAGATGAACGCATGCCCCCATCCACTAAACCAAATCAGGTCCCTCGAGGCGAAGGAAAATGATGCTGAAATGGGTAATCATGGATGAGGAGACTTCGAAGCCAGTCTCTTCCCTTAGGTTTTCAAAGTTTGTTTGATAAGACTTAATGGAAACACTAAGCTGCGCTGAAGCTCTATCAAATTCCCGTGCTATCATTTCTGATCCTACTACCTAGCTCTCCAACATGGCGGCCGTCTCGGGGACTCAGTCTTTCAAAGTCGCACTGGTACAAACAAGGCCAAAGGTGAGCCCACTATCGACGTCACTTTAGCACGAACCATCACCAACCCTCATCTTTGCAGGTTCTGGATGCCGAGCACAACTTTGCTCACGCTTCCAAACAAATTCGCCTTGCTGCAACTCAAGGAGCATCACTGGCGGTTCTACCAGAATATCATATGACAGGATGGGTACCGGATGAACCCTCATTCGCACTAAGCTATGAGGAAGCTCAGAATTTCCAACGGCGATACCAGCAACTCGCAGCGGAAGTGCACATCAACATCTGCGCCGGCACAATCGTCTACCGTGCACCAGACGAAGATCCTAACTCCAAGCCAACTCTTCTCAATACCTCTTACTTCATCGACCATGATGGACAACTCTTGGGCGCTTATACCAAGACCAACCTCTGGATCCCCGAACGCGATCATCTGACTTCAAGCATCGCCTACGCACACAAGATGCAAGTCGACGAGGGTACGCCGAAGCCTCATCAAGTCTTCGATACTCCCTTGGGTCCCGTCGGCATTCTAGTCTGCTGGGATTTGGCCTTCCCGGAAGCATTCCGACAGCTTGTTTTGGCCGGTGCAAAGATCATCATCATGCCCTCGTACTGGACGTTGTCGGACATGAGCAAAGAGGGCTTGGAGTATAACGCGACTTGCGAGAAGATGTTTGTAGAGTCCACGCTTACCACGAGGGCTTTTGAGAATACTGCTGCCATCATCTACTGCAATGCGGGAGGACCTTCAGAGCAGGGCTATTTTGGTTGCAGTCAAGTTGCATTGCCCATTGTCGGCAAGGTTCCTGGGAGCTTCACGGATGGAGAGGATGGGATGCGGGTGGTGGATGTGGATATGCGAGTTGTTGAGATTGCTGAGCGGAACTATCAGATCAGACAGGATTTGGGGCGCGTCGATTGGCATTATGGCTATGTCAAAGGGGCTAAGTTGTAAACTCAAAGAGAGAACAATACATATCTATGTCTAATGTCATGATAATACTACCCAGCTGAGATGCAATGAGTGTGGAGATCTAAGCTCACTCTTACTCCTGCTTGTTTGTTTTCTGCTTACCCGCGGCTACTGACACTTCGAACAGCTTACAAGACATCCCAATAGGGTCAATTTTTTCAGCGTAAGGAAATTACGGATCAGAAGACGAGAGACAAACCATATCGTGGCGGTTTGAGTTTTCAAAGGAACACATCAAACCACTAACCTGCCGGGCTATTGCGCTGGTTGCGGACGACTGGAGAACTCTCTGAACACAATATCATCAGATTCATCGTACAATTCAATCCGTTCGGATTAGAGACTATTTACAAAATCACAGCTTATCATGTGGTAGGGCGGTTATCCCTTTTGCAGATTCCTCATCCTTGATAGTGTTCGCAGTCGGTAACTCCTCCCCAAGGATGAGCTCAAACTTGGGACCGTTGTAGGTCTTGCTCTTGATAAACCAGAGTGCAACCGCGTAAACAATGAAAACTCCGATGACAGCTGTCACGTAGTCTGTGTGTGTTAGATACATAAATAACCCGCTGGTAGATGGGGACTTACTCATGGTAGAAATATCGATAGGAATTGCTGGTGGGAAACAGAAGAACTACGAGATATGTGAGCACTACTTCCCAATTACTCCACGCAGCTCTACTTACGATTGATGTGACGATGACGAAAAGCACCGACGTCCAGTTCGTGAGGTAGCCCATGAAGCCTCCGCCCAGGGAGAATACTGGCGGATTATCCGTGACGAGTTTCCGGCCCCTGATTAGCAGGATCATGACTGGCATGGCATAAGAAAGATTCAAGAACAGGGTGCAGCTTGCGATGTAAGCATTGAATGCGACCTCAGGGCCTACATAATATTAAATTCCCGATCTCATGTTTGTTGAAGGGTAGACCAACCAAGGTAAAGCAGACCGAACAGGATATTGAAAATGGCTTGCACAATTATTGCACGTACAGGCACATTTAGCGTAGGGTGAAGATGCGAGAGGCTTCGAAAAGTAAGATTAGCAAAATAAGCTTAAATAATCGCAACTTCAGACTGTGCTTACTACTTCGAAAACGGAGTTCCGTTGTCTCGAGCCATAGACCAGACCAAGCGACTGCCCGACGTCACGCAGCCGTTCGCACCATTAACAAAACAGAGGGCAACTGCAACGCTTAGAACAGTGGCAGCTGCTCTGCTCTTCGTTGCTTGCAATATCATCTCCGTCAATGGGCTCTGCGTAGGCGAGGAGAGCAAGACATGGATGTCGACGGCGCAGAAGAGCATAACGAGGATGAAAGCGATTCCTCTGCGTCGACTGTCAGGTTTACCAAGCTCTGTGATGCGGTGGGATTGTACTTACGTCGTACCACCAACGATGACAGCACCGACCATGGCTTGAGGAGCATCTGTGGATGGTCTAGGCATCTCCTCGACCATGTGCGCCACAGCATCAAAACTGTCACTGTGTCAGTCATACAGCAGCAGGTCTGGTTCTGGTGAGACGAACCCAATCAGGCTGAGTGCGGACTGAAGAAGTCCAAGCATCCATGCCGTCCCATCGCTCCAGCCGGTGGTATTGGAGAAGTTTGTGAAGACGAATTCAGCGTCTGTCTTGGGAGAGGTTGCGAGTAGCACGATGCTGATCACGACGACGCTGAGCAAGGACCAATACACTTGAGAAGATGAGCAACCCAATCGATCAATTTTATCTTTCAGAGTACTTACATGCTCCTTCATTCCAGCGGTTGAGGATTGGGTATGCAAAGATGTTCAAGAATACTCCAATGATGGACACAGCGACAAACATTAAGTACGTGCTCCATTGTGTGATCTCGTAGGAGCCGCCAGAAGCTGCAACCGCGGCTGCAGCGAGGAATCGGGCTTCACCCAGAATTAGTGAAGCTCAAGTCGCTGAAGCAGGCCAATACTCACCCCCAAAATATGCAGCGGTAGTGTTGAGCGTGAGCCAGCCAGCGATGTTGACCCATCCAACGAAGAAGCTCTGGAGCTCATTAGCACTTGATTTCCAGCCAGGCTGTGAGACGTGGGGTTTACCGTCAACTTCCTCCACTTCTTCGTCGAAAGTGCATAGGCATAGTGATATTGCCCTCCAGCTGTTGGATAGAGCGATGCAAGCTCTCCAACACTTGCACTCAATGCGATGTTGCAGATAACACAGAAGATGAAGCCGTACACAAAGGACACGGATCCACCTGACGGCATCACTAGACCAATGGACCCAGCTAGAGAGATCCAAGTGCTTTTGAAAATCAGTATCGAAATCTGGGTATGTAATTACGATTCAATGACTAACTTGAGAATAGCGAAAGCCATGCCAACCATTGTGATTTTAGAGAATCGCTTCTGCAGGTGGCCATCTTGGCCATCCGCTGATGATGTGGCCATGTCTTCAAGTGGTCTGTGACAGCGGAGATTCAATGATATGAATTGGAGGTAACCACTCGGGAGTTCTTGACAGAATGCGAACCTCTCATGTCCTCTTATGGTCCTGGAAGGCTGTTTCACTTGTACATCGCAGTGTCGCACTGATGATTGCAAGGCAGATGATAAGAAGAGATGCCTTTACGCTTATTAACATACCAACAAACAGCAACGGGATTATCCTCTCGGGTAGCTGCGAAGCTACGAGTAATGACGATGGTCTATCAACACGCTATCCCCAAAGTGGTAGTCTTAAGCAAAGGAAAAGATGAACCCCACGGCCGGCTGTGGATCGGAGACGCAGCTGTGAAGGTCTATCAGCCGATCACCCCGCATGCGATGATAACGGTCCCGAGTTGCGTCAATGCCGGCACCCATTTCCGCTGCGAACTGTGGACTTGGCTATCGAGGAATGCCATTGTTACCTGAGCGAACTTTCTCTTGTTGTATGCAT